ATCAATTGGAGTTTCTAATTTCAACGACCGACACTTATGAATTTACTGCACATTTCCCCTCATTTTTTTTCTCTCCGAATTACTTCTTAACAACAGCAGAACATGGAAGAAGCGAACACCAAGAAAGCCAAACCCTCACCTTTTCCGGACTCTCTCCGGCAATGGAGCCAATGGCAGCTGCTCGACTCCATTCTCCCCACTGGCGGCTTCGCCCATTCGTACGGGCTCGAGGCCGCCACCCAAGCCCGTCTCGTCAATTCTCCACAAGACCTCAAAACCTTCATTATCCACGTGCTCGAAAACACCGGCAGCCTCCTTCTCCCGTTCGTACACTCTGCATCCCTTTCCCCCGACTCCCAAAACTGGCGAAAACTCGACCGACTTCTAGAAGCTATGCTCACGAACGAGGCTAGCCGAAGGGCCTCCGTCTCTCAAGGGTCGGCCCTCATGAGAGTCGCATCCTCCGTTTTCTCCGAGATCCCAAATCTCAAGGCTATGAGAGACGAGGCACTCAGGGGCGGGAGCGTCTTTTTCCACCACGCTCCGGTTTTTGGGCTCGTCTGCGGGCTGCTGGGGTTTGGGCCTGAAATAGCCCAGCGGGCTTACGTGTTTGTGACTATGAGGGATTTGGTGTCAGCTGCCACGAGGCTGAATCTGGTGGGCCCGTTGGGGGCGGCCGTGCTGCAGCACCAGGTGGCGGGGGAAGCTGAGGAGGTTTGCGTGAGGTGGATGGGGCGTGGGGTGGAGGAGGCTTGCCAGGTGTCACCGTTGCTTGATACTGTGCAAGGGTGTCATGCTTATTTGTTCTCCAGACTATTCTGTTCTTGAACACTGTTGAGATGTTGCGCACGGTCAGACTGTACTGGTTTTGCTCGTTGTGTGGTGGATATTTCTTGGTTTTCAGGTGGAGAGTTTTCTGAAGGTTCAGTTCTTTCTACTTATTGGGTAGGTAAAGGTTGCTAGTATTGTTTCCTATCAGTGAATCATTTTACTGGAATTGGATAGGATGGAAATGAGATGTATATAGCACATTGCAATTGAATTTATCATGTAATGAATCAATAACATTGCTTTCAAAAATATATCTTTGAGTTCATGATTCAAAAACAATAGAAAGAAAAAAAATGAGCTCATTCGGTTATTTAATCTCTTCTCCCGGCGTTCCCTTGTCGTATTGTGCGTTTCTCACGTTCTCCATGTGCTCAAAAGTTGTCCAAAAGTCTATGAGAATGCGCCTTGATGTCCCCTCTTATACTTGAGGCCGAATCCTTATTGAAAAACCTAAAGAAAGTACACACATCAAAAACTGTTGATAGACACTCCAATTCCAAGCGCGCAGTCATGCTCGAGTCTCAGAAGTGGTGGTTGGCCCCCAACAAGTGAGTAATACCACATTTACCAACTTTTTATTATGCATATTTAAGCCTAATTTTTATGCTAAATGGCTCATTGGCCAATTGAACTGCTGATAATTGGGAGTTCTGTCATCTGAACAAAGACCAACAATGAATCAAATACAACACGCTAATTAATGACTATTGACTTTTTGCGAGCCACATATAATATTTGCCCAACTTACCAAACCCAAATTAGAACCTCAATCATAACGTATAAGCACCACCAATTGCATTATTTATTTGTAATTAGAGACCCCTGAATATGGACTGAAAAGTGAAAACCCACTCAACTAATTCGTATGTTCTGGTATCTCTCTTATTCACCCAGTCACCATCTCTCTTCTCTCTCTCTCTCTCTCTCATGATTTGACCCAAGTTAATTACGCTCTAACCCCTTTCCCCCAGTGGACCCACCACGTGTCTCCATCCCAATGCAGCACTAACCCAGTCACACCCTATCCACCGTCGATTACCCTCCACCCACTGCACATAGGTCCTTTCTCCTCCGGGGGGTCCCCCCTTTCTACTCGCTTTACCTTCTGCATAAAGAGTGGGTCCATTTCATTTCATTTTTCATCCCCACAGAAAAAGCAGCACCTCACATGGCTTCAATCCTACCCCACCACCACCCCTCCACGGCGGCGCACCACCAAAATCTTGAACCCGGGGGCACAAAACCCCCGGCGGACCCACTCCTTCCGACCGAATTCACCATCGCTACAGGTCCAGACACGCAGCCGCCCCCGCAGACGGCACTGGCGGTGGCGCTAGCCGCGGGTCCGCCGTTGAAGGGGTCCAGCAAGGACCGGCACACGAAGGTGGAGGGGCGCAGCCGCCGGATCCGGATGCCGGCGGCGTGCGCGGCCCGCATATTCCAACTGACGCGCGAGCTCGGCCACAGGTCCGACGGCGACACCATTCGATGGCTGCTCGAGCGGGCCGAGCCGGCCATCATCGAGGCCACCGGCACGGGAACCGTGCCCGCCATCGCTGTCTCTGTGAACGGTGCGCTGAAGATCCCGACGATTCCCTCCACCGCCGGTTCGCCGGAAACCTCAAACAAGCGCAGGAGGAGGGCTTCCAACAGCGAGTTTTACGACGTCGAAGACGCATCGAGCTTCGCTCCGGTATCGCCCGTTGCGCCGCAGGGTCTGGTTCCAGTTTTCGCCGCCGGTGCTTTCTTCATGATCCCACCTTCCGGCGGGGCCTCCGCCGCTGGCCCGTCGAGCCACCCTCCGTTCTGGACCATACCGGCCACGGCGACGCCGGTATTCAACGTCGCAGGGCGGCCCATGTCGAAATTTGTCTCCTTTGGGGACTCCCCTGGTGGCGGCTCCAGCGTCTCCGGCGGCGAGGATGAAGCGGGTGCCAACAGCAGTTGTGGTAGTGACGGCAACAAAGGTGCAACTGATACAGCGCCCGGTACAGGTAGTGGGGCGAGTACTACTGCAGTAGTGACGGGTACAACGCTGAAGAACTTCTCCCCGGAGGTCTACGAAAGGAGAGAGCTTCAGTTTATGGTGGGCCCCGCTGCAGGGAATCACGACCAGACCCCATCCCCAAAATCTTGAAGAGTATTGGGTATAAATGGCTGAAAATCAGAATAGGGTTTTAGGCATCATATTAATGCGATATTTGTAATTCGATGATGGCAAGATTGTTTACATAGTCTAATTTATCTCCCTTGTTTTTTTTCTAAATTACTATTACCCTTCCAGTACTAAAACACTCACAGCCTATTTTATGACTTGGTATGTTACATCTTATAAGTACTAAATAACTGGCATTTCTAACCATTTTAACTTAGGCATCATTGGTTCCAGAAATAAATTTGAAATCCAGACAAAAGTTTAGTTGAAGGTGACAAATGGGAAAATCTGATTTAGAATTGTCCACCAATCCCATGGAGTCCGTGTACGTCCTATTAGCTGTAAATTTTCAGATACAGCTGTTTAACTAATTAACATGTCACATTTAATTCGAGATTGCAGTATGTTTACAACTCACTAGTGTTGATATCCTTGCGATGCACCGGGTGCAATACAAAAAATATTTATTATTTAAATATTATAAAATTATTTAAGACAATATGAAATTATATTATCCACAATATTCTATTCAGTAATAATATGACATTTATTTATTTATTATTATTGTAAATTTCTATTTTTGTATATTTTTTTGTAGTTTTTGACTATATATATAAATTTTATTATTTATGAGTTTATAAAATATTATATATGTATAAGATCATATGATATTTGCATACAAATTATTTGTATGTACTTAAAAAATTGTCGTTTATTATTATAAATGTATAAGATCATATGATATTTTCATACAAATTATTTGTATGTACTTATAAAATTGTCGTTTATTATAGTCTTATAATTTTTTTAACAATTCATAATTTGCACATTGTTTGATAATTGACCAACGTTCAACCCATAATATTTATCTTCTGCTAGAATTATTAAGTGCATTAAATGTTAAAAACTTTGATAAACAAACTTTAATTTTTAGTCACTTTAATCCTTATGCAACACACAAATTTTTTATGGTTAAATATTTTATTTTTATGTTTCTATTTTTATTTATATTTATTTCTTTAATTCATTTTTTCAACCTATATAATGAGTTACATAGTATCTATTTGAATATTTTGATATATTATATATTTTCATAATTACCAAGTGCTATAATCTAAATTATTATACATTGCTTTTTTATTAACTTATTTTTCATTTATAAAATAGTATATAAGAAAAAAATAATTTTTTTTTTTACAAATTGGATAATTTTTAATGTACATAGGTACTTCTAAGGTGGAATTTATAATTCTGAATTGCATCTGACCATCAAATTTTATTTTTATTAGTATTATTTAAATTTTCAATACTATTATTACTGCATATGATATATTCAATGGGGATGATCTTTTTATAGTTAAATTGACTACATATTTGAAACTTTTATTAATATTTTAAATTATTTATTAAGTTATTATGATTTAAACATAGTTATTCTAATTATTTTATTAAATATTTTAAGTACTTTTGAATAGTGAATATAATTAATTAAATTAATACCTACAGCCATAGATGATAATATATTTAATCAAATTAGTTTCCATAATATTTTTTTGAATATTGCCAATAAATTAATATTAAATTTATAGAAGATCTTACTGAAAATATATCTAATAAAGTTACAGTCAAAATTTCAATTTAAGCCAATTTGTAGTTAATGAGTAATAGTCATTGACTGTATAAATATTAATTATGTTTTTTATACATATGATTTGCTAATAAATAAATATTAATTAAATGCAAAATATTGACGAAAAAATTTTCCGCCCAAAATCATGTCAATTATGGCAATAAGGATTGATCCATTATATAGATATAGATTTATGGTATAATTATAGGTTCGTATATTTATGGTATCATTGGGTGTCATTATCTTAATTGGTGGTATATGTATTTTTATGCATTATTAAATATATATTTTTATGCGTTATTAAATATCTCTCATACTTAAAATTGATTTTTTATTTTTAGAAAAATTGAAACTGAAATTTATTATTATTTTTATATAGATTTTTTAATTAAAATTCTTAATCAATAACTTTTAGGAACTTCAAAGGTAGCTGAATAGTAAGTGGCATAAATATTAATGTAGATTCCATATTAATTTGAATTATTAATTGAATACTAATTTGGTTAAGTTAATGTAAAGTGCAAATGGAAATACGGATCTAAAGTATTATTGACAAATACAAAAATAATTAAACTTACAATTACACAACCAAATGTAGAAATGTTGCCAAATTATAATTATTGCATATCATCTTTATTTAGCAATAAATTCCATCAACTCCCTCTTTATATATATATAGATAGATAACACACTTGTGACAATACAAGGTTCATTCCATGCCACCCTTAAGGCGAGGCCGTGCGTGGTAGTCGGGGGTGCTAGACATATGAGCGCGCGGGAATTTTGAAAGAGGACGAGATGATCTTCAACAGTAAAAATTTTTCCAATTGGAGGCAGTGGCAGCAAGTTTCGGGTGGAAGGATTTTCGGAAGTTTCGAGATCGAGAAAATGAAGAATAAGTAAACACTTGAAAAAATGACCGCGAACCGGTTCACTGTGAAATGTAAGTATTTTACGATAAATGCGCTCAACGTTGTTAGAACACAAATAGAAAACTAGAATAGCAGAAACAATAAACCGAAGATTTAAAAAACTCTTCAGGAAAACGTCCTACTTCCCCTCAGAGCTCTTTCATTGATAACTCGATTGTGCACATGCGTATAGTTTTGGAATTACAGCACATAGAACTCTCTTCTAGTCTAACCAACAACTATACTCGAATCTACCAACTACTTCTCCGGCTACGTCCCATGGAATTTAACTCTCGAATCTCTCGAGCTAAAAACAACACCTAATCCCTAAGTACTGATCACGAAAGTGTTTGAATGAAAAACAAAAGAATCAAAACAAAAGACTTCAATTCTTCAATGTCGTAAGAACACTGAAAACTGAACAATGAAAATAAAACCTAAAAGGCTTGAAGCTCGAGTATTGAATGAAAGATAATGATTTCAGCAACCTGAATTCGATCTTCAAGTAGAGTATATATACAACTCCTTAGGTGTGGAGTCTTCTCCAAGTATAAGATTTCTTTTTTATTTTCTTCCAACTTTATCCAAAGTAACATGGTAAGTGTAGAACTCTTCATTCTCTCTCAAGATCTTCTTTCCTTGTATGATGTGGAAACATTGAAAGTAAATATTCTCTTGATCTCTCCTCAACTCGTATAAGAACAAGACTTTCCTAAAATAGCCGATCTTCCAAATCTTCAAAGATCCATGTGGTGAATCTTTCCAAATCCTCCTTAGATCTTCTCATGAATGTCCAAAACTCCTTATGCACGAATTGCTCATCCTTTCATAGTTTTTGCCACCTATTCCTTGTCCTACAAAGAGAAAACTAATTATGACATAGAATCAAGATCATTAATGAATGTGTGTGGCATATATGGTAAGTACATATATAAGATAAATATTATGTAATCCTTCTCCTAAAGGTTTAGGATTCCATAATACACGTTATAATAAATATATAACATATATTATTAATAATAAATAATATGAACTTAATTAATTAACAATTAAATAAATAGAAAACTTTCCTTTAATTTATTTTGCTTGCGTAACAAGAAAATCTTCTAGGAAACACTTAAGTTTGTCGAACGATGCCAAACCAATATTCTTACACTTTGTTTGGGGTATTTTACGACCTTTCCCCGCAAACCGAATTTAGTGGCTCGCGAGCTGCCATACGAGCGATTCGACACAAGCTCTTTCTTTTTTCTTTTTTCCTTTTTCAGAATAAAAGAAAAAATGCAAATAAGATAAAAATGTGGGTTGCCTTTCATTAAGCACTCGGTTTAACGCCAGGAGCTTGATGAAGCCGCCGGCTATGGTTAGGCAGGGAAGCCACACCCGCACACGAGGGAGATAACTAATCTCACTCCTTCATATTGTATTTATTTCATTAGTATGTTAGCTTAGTATTTTTATCCAATTTTAGGAGATGTTTGAACCTTAATTTCGATTTATCTATGAATTGATTGATCTATTTCTTTCGTTGATTAATTAAGAGGTATTTATTTGTTGATGAGTTGATTAATGTTATCTGCGTATAATGTTTATGAATTATGGGTGTTTGATTTCGTTTGACTAGCTACGTTAAATATTCATAATTTAATTGATAGAGACGAGGCTTTAATCTGTAATTGTTATTATTCTCGTTTCGTTAGTAGTAAACTAGAGGTCGTGCATCTCTAGGATAGCATAAACTTAAGTTAAATGGTCCGAGCTTTCGCGTCCTTCGCTTAGAATAATCTATTTTTTAAAAAATTTAATGCTGCCAGTGTATTAAATTTAGAGAGCTTATTCTAGGTTGTTCCTTAGTTAGGTTTAGTCGATGAGCTTATTTCGATTAAATTTTCGGTAAAGAAAAATTCGATAACAGAGCTTGTTGTTAGTTAGAGTTGGTAATTCATTAGCAATTTAAAAAAAAAAACGTCGAAATTAATTAATGGTAGATTTAGATTGGATGATAACTAAACCGAAAACTGGAATTTCTCTCATTTATTTAATTTTTATTTTATTTTGTTACTTTTATTTTTATTTTTATTAAAATCAATCCCCCTATCTTTTTATTGTTTTTTTAGTTCTAATTCAATTAATACAAGATATTTATAATTTAATTTTTTCTCCTCGTGGAAACGATCCTTACTTGCTGCTACTACTAGTTAGTATAGGCTAGTTGAGGAAACTTTATAAATTTAAATTTCTCGCGTCGCGACGCGCAGTCAAATTTTGGCGCCGTTGCCGGATAGTGGCGCAAAGGAGAACAAGACATTTAGATATTGGCTCGAAACAAAGAGGAACTACACTAGTTGGCAAAGAGAATGGTGTTATGAGTTGCATTGATCGATACATTCGTTATACAAATTGACAAACTATGGTGGTCACTTGAATTAATACTTGATTGTTGAGTTCTTATAATGATTTCGTCTTGAGTCCGAATTAATTGATTCGAGTTGTTTGAACTATGTACTTATGTGAAAATTTGTGAAGCCCTAAACAAATATTCCATGTACTTGTTTATATCCATCTATATGCTTTTTATTCTAAGTTATTTGGGGACAAACAACGATTTAAGTTTGGAGAGATTTGATAGGCTAAAAAATGTACAAAATTTATATATTTAATAGTGTATTTTATACACTTAATTTATTCGCACATCTATATTTTTCGACTTATTTATTATTTGATGTACTTTGATATTTTATTATCTATTTTCAGCAATTTAAAGGATATTCGAAAATGATAATGAATAAGACCTGTAATGTTGAATTCTGCAAGAAAAGAAGGAATTGGGCTAAAAATAAAGTGCAATTATTTGGGCCAAAATAGATCAAGCACTTGAGAAAACACACGCAGTGCAAGCATTAATTTGGGCATGGAGAATTAATTGAGGGAAGTGGGAATTATTTGCTAACGAAAACAAAAATGCGAAGATGTATATTTTGAGGACTCCACTCACGCAAGGAGTGAATTATTTTGCTGGGAGCACTCCACAGTGGAGAGGATATATTTGGGCAAGAGGAATAAAATACTAACGNAAAAAAAAAAAAAAAAAAGCCAAGAGAATTCCGCGGTCACTGAGCCTTAGAGATGTTAAACGGGCTAGCCTTAGCGGTTTTGGGTTAGCCCTAGCGGGCTTCGGGCTAAAGATTCGGGCATAAAAAACCCGAATTTAAACGGGCTACTAATAAAATGACCTAACCCTATCCCTAGCGGGTTTCGGACTACACGGGCGCGGGCTAGGAAAATAATAATAATAATAATAATATGATAATAATAATATATAAAAATATCAAATATAAAAAGAATAAAAAGATATAAAAAAATAACAATGGCTACTGTTTTTAACGGCTATTTAGTAGTTACCCCTCTATATATACAACTACATATCATACATGAACACAAATTACAAACTCTTAAATAACATATTTCTTCTCAAAAGAAAAAAACAAATATTCCAATTATTACTTACAATTACTATTTTACTACTAATTTTGTACATTTTGTGAATTCACTATAAATTTTATTGCTATATTTCATGTGTTTCCTATTAGTCGTTCTGATTGACTTAAATATTTTGGTGTAAAGTATAATAACAATATTGTTAATAATTATCTTTCAAAATCATAATAATCCATTACAACTCATACTTACATGTGAAATAGAACAACAAAATTGTAATATACAAGACATCTAAGAGTATATTACTTACTTGATGCAAATATTTACACCCCCTAACCCTAGTTAAACGGGCCAGCCCTAGCCGGTTTCGGGCTAGCCCTAGCGGACTTCGGGCTAAACGGTCCGGGCCTAAAAAACCCTGATATAAACGGGCTACTAAATGGCCCTAACCCTTTTTTTCCGTGCTAAACGGGCCGGCCCGTCGGGTCTAGGACCATTTCATATCTCTACTGACCGTATTTGTGTCACAATAATTTGTACACTTTTTTGATGGACTTGAATTCCACGAATGTGTATAACATGATATCATATAAATGCGTTTTAAATGTCGTAAATTTTTAAGATCGAGCAATAACAATTTTCAGACTTTGAGTTATAAATTTGTTTAAAAAATTATTATTATTTAAATTTTTAATAAACTACATTTAATTATTAAGATAATTTTTTAAATATTTATGATGAAATATCATAGTATTTAAATTTAGATAAATTTTGCTTATAAATTACTTATCTCTTATTATTATCGATATCCACCAAAAATAATATACATATAACTTTAAAATTATTAAAATTATTTTTTTGATTCCCAATGCTCACAGTTCAGATCCTATTCTTGCCATGTTTGAAAACATTGGCAAATATAACAAAATGAATTTGATTATTTAACCCAAGTGGAGACTAAAAATACAAGAACCAATCCGATGACTTTTTTCAGCCAATCAAAATGGAGGCATGTTTTCAAAGAGTATCCTCTGTGGATCGCCATGACCGACCTATACAAAATATTATGCGTTGTCAGCCTGCCATTCGCCGGCACGTCATCTCATAGTACGATGATGTTGACGTTTGAGCCCCATATATTTATTGCCCCTAATTATTACCACTTACACACACAATATACTTATTTTGTTAGATGATATTTTTTCAGAAATTTCTAAAACAGCAGTAAAAAAACACCTCCTTTTTAGTTTTTTTCTTTTTTTCCTTTCCATGTCCAGCTCCATTTTATCGCTTGCTAAATGCTAAAACGAGATGCCATAAATGGTTTTCTCATTTTCTTTTATATTTTCTTAACCAACATTTTTAGGCTGACCTTTGAGCGGGCATTTTCCTTTTTAGTGGGTGTCATGATAGGGAAAGACAATGGGAATAATATACGTATGATAAATACGGAAATGTTGTGTTGTGTGGTTTGAAAATAAAGAGATTTTTCGCGTCAATTGCTTTCACATATCCGGATAAAAGATCCTCCCTTTTCCTCTGATGCTGATATAGTTATAGCCATCCAAGTTGAGAAAAAAAAAATCTTGATAAAAAGCTTCATGCCCATTATTCCATTTTGGGTGAAAAATAACCCAATAACATCTAATCTCCATCTACAGTTTCCTCGTTTCGGTTCTTGATTTTGACTATATTTATCTATGTTCTTCCCCTTTGTTCTTTTTCCTTAAAAGAAAAGAAAAAAACAAATCCTTAAAAGCTAGCTAGGGCTCATAGGTTGTATAGTTAGTTACAGTACATGTTCTAATTGAGGTTAGTATAGCAGTGTGAAACTTTATTTGGAGTTTAATTTCAGTAGGGTTTATAGGGGTTGCAAGCTCTTCCTGAGGTTTGCACATGTTTTAATTATCTATTCTTGGCAAGCCATTTGTGTGTCTGATTTTTTTTATTTTAATTTTTTTTTTTCATCTGAAGAATTATATATATTTTCGTAGCTCCTGAGTTGAAGGGCCCTCACTCTACTGAAGCTTCTTGTGGCTAATTTTTGGGGTGAGAATGGAAGTTTTCTGTATTGTATATTATTTTCATATTTCTTTGGAAAGAGAAAAATAAAACTTGATGTTTTATATATATATATATGTGTATATTTGACACAAAATTATTGAAATTCTGTAGATACAAAAGATGGTGAGGGGGAAGGTCCAAATGAAGAGGATCGAGAACGCATCAAGTCGGCAGGTGACTTTTTCGAAGAGGAGAAATGGGCTCTTGAAGAAGGCCTATGAGCTCTCAGTGCTTTGTGATGCTGAAGTTGCTTTAATCATTTTCTCTCAAAAGGGGAGACTTTATGAGTTTGCAAGCTCCAAGTAAGTCCCAATTCCAACATTCTTTACTTCTCAATCTTTAAATTCCATATAAAAATCTTGGAAACCCAATTATAACAGATGATTATCCATAATTTAATTTTATTTGTGAGTTTCACTTAATGTATACTGTTTGGTCTTGTACTTGCACATAGTGCTTGATGAAGCAAATGAATTAACATCAATATAATTGTTAAAAGAATATTTTCTACTTGGTAATTTTATTAGCTGTTTTTGGTGAATAAATTAAACATTAGTGTTTCTTGTGGTAGAACCCAAGAGTTTCCACTTTTCAATAGATATGTTTTCTTGATATGGGTTTAAATTTTTTTAATTTATCAAAAATAAAACTTCATCAATGGCTAGTTTTATGAAGTGGTATGCCAAATGAAGTGGTCTACACATGAAGTGTATCCTATATGAGAGAAAAAAAACCTCAAACAAAAAGTGAATTCTATTCTATGCTCCATTGGTAAAATGAGGTGTAAATATATGTGTACTAAGTTAGGTTCTTTGCTTTTGAGGTAATAAATGCAGAGCAAACTCACCACAAATTTCATTGCATGCTACGTAACACTCAATATATATTGTGATTGTCTAAATATAAACGTGCTCAATTAATGGGCTTGGTGGATTAACAAAAACATTGGAAGACATTTAAAAGTTCTACATTTGAATTTATGTTGGTAGATTAGGCAAGACTAGTTGGGTTTATTTCTAATTTTCCTTTTTAAGCATTTACCGATAATATGTAAGGATATAAAAGAAGAGAGTTCTAGCAATATTTGGGGAAAAAGAAAAGTGGGAAAATTTTAGAGGTGAAATTGGGAGCATAGAGTTAAAATTCATTCTGAGCAATTCCTGATATTTCCTTTATTTAAATTGTGTCTGAGCCATGATTACACGTATCTCAATAAAATAGATTCCAACACCTAAAAAACTTGTAAAAACTGTTATTGAGAACACAAGAATCTTCTCTTTATTCCCCATTTTGTTATTTTTTCAATAAATGATAAATTCCACCTGATTGTTATTGAAATTATGTGGTTAAAGAAATTATGCGGTTAAAGAAGTTAAGGATTAGAACATGATTATATATAGAAGTAATCAAAGTGGAAAATATTAATTGTATTAAGATTTGGTTGTTTACTTGTTTATGTGGACAGTACGACTGTTTTCTTTTACATATCTAAGATGACTTGCTCTTCTTAAAGTAACTTAATAATTGAAGAACATAATTAGTCTCAATCTTGAAGAAGTATTTCTTAGATTTTAGAACTTTTATAAACTTACCTACAAAAAGAAACTTTCTAGGCTGATTAAGGGTTGGCTAATGTTTTGTATTTAGGCTATGATTATATCAAAACAATGTTACACACATGTAAGGATAAGTTTTTGGAAAAATAGTTAAAATTGTACCCAACATTAGTTATTTTTTTGTAGGTTATAGGGATTTAAGATAGTGAACACCATTTTCCCATACTGTAAGTATTTCTTCCATTAACTGATTCAAAGGGGAGATTGGATTTGAAGAAAGAACATAACAAGTGTTTTTTATATGTGACCATTAACTGATTCGAAGGGGAGATTGAATTTGAAGAAAGAACCTAACAAATGTTTTTTTATATGTGTTCCTTTATTTGTAATCAATATATATGAACACGATTTAGAGTGATTTTTTCCTTTTGAACCAACACATAGCATGCCAACTTCATTCATTGTATTACTTTTAAGTGCACTTTTATCTTCATTAATATTACTCCTCACCTAATTCCCAAATAAAGAAAAAAATAAAAGAGCACAATAATTGTACAGCTTCATTAGTATTGCTCCTCATCTAATGATCTAATTCCTAAACAAATAAAAATTCAGCATGCAGATGACGATTGAGAAATACCTTGAACTTACAAAAGAACGAAATTCCGGCGTAGAACTTGAACATCAAATGCAGGTTTGCTTTATTTACCTCCTACTAAATTATTCTACTTTCACAATAATTAGTTTACATACACATTGACAAGCAGTTAGAGGAAGCATAATTGTTCTGACTTTTTTGCTTCATATGATATCTTTCTTATCCCAACTAGAAATTCTAGTAAATGTGCGAAACGAATTATTAGATAAACATTCCCTAAAGTTTGCGTTGCATGTAAACCTTCGACATTTCATAATGTACATTATTGGCGTGGAAGCTGAAGATATATATGATGGCTATTTTAGATATTCGGTACTTGTTTAAAATACATAGCTTATTTTGACAGTTCAAATACATGGACAACTTTTCAAGATGTTCAAAATTTAATGGAGTTTTAAGAGTGAAGGTAAGAAAATTATATGTAACATGTTATTCAATAAATTATACCCACATAAAAAAGCATTAAAATAAAGTCATTGGATAAAAAGAATTTTTTTAACCTTTTCATTTTTATATCAAGATAGAAGAGTAATATTTATAAAATACAAAGTACTTGTTAGGATAGTTGTACACTTTTATACAACTTTAAGATTTGCATGCACAATACATATATTGTGTCCCCATGTTTTTTCTTGAGTTTATTAGTAGCTACATAGTTTTATTCCAAAGATATCTTGAGTTTATGTACCTGAAGGACAATTTAGCATAGTCCAAGAAATTGAGTGCTTATTGACAAAACAATCAAAAATTCAATCTGGTGTTAAATTGAAAAAATATTATTATTTAACCATTACACCTGCGTAAAAGTAAAAGTTTAGAACATATATCGGACCGAATTGGATAGTCCGACTTGTTGGACCAGGAACGAGTCAGTTGACCGGTCCAGTTCGCTAGAATGAATTGGTTGCCAACAAATCGATCAAGGACCGGTTGAACCGTTAAAAACTACCCAGGCGGTCCATTCTAAAAATAAAAATAAAAATTTAATATATTCAAAAATATTTTTAATATAAATAAAAAATACATATTTAAATCTATATATATATATAACGAAAATAACCATTTACTAAAATTAGTGGCAAAAAAATTTGGGAGCATTTAATGCATACCTTATTTGGAACTTTTTAAATATATTCATTAATTGTTTTCATATACACACTACTACAGTACCCGTGCGATACACGTGAGCATTTATTACCTACTTGCTTTTTAAAATGTATTTTTGTATTTAAATTGTCTAATGACATCTATATATATATAAAGAGGAGCAACAAAGCATTTAATTTTATTACCATGCATTCAATTTTATTCTCATACATTAAATTTTATTCTCCCTTCAAAATTTTCAGCATTCAATTTCATTTTTAAGTTATACAATAACTTGCTTGAATGCCATAAATTATGAGCATAAACCAATCAAGGGAGCTACAAAATTGTACTCCAATTTTAAGTCACACCCATCCATGAAAATGGCCGGGTGTATTAGCATAAAGAAAATGGTTGTAACGACTCTTCCATAGCAATTATTTGATTAAAATCAATTTTGAGAATTATTTTCTTAATTCATATTTTTTTCCATGAATTAAATTATATTTTTATGTTTTTAAAGTATTCGTCTCTGTGCAAATGCACAGGTTGATTACTAGTTAAAAATATCATGAAAATGAAATTTATAAGTTATTGACACTTCCTATTGTACAACATTCTTGGTTTGATTTTTTTGGCACGTAAAGTACTACATGTGTGTTCTAATTTTATCTAAAATTGCATATTATTAGTTATTAGCTAAAAATGTGTCAATTATTTATGAAAACAATTCTAAATACAAATCAATTTAAAAACCGTGCAAATTGGATACAAATTTACGAAACAAATAGTTGTATAATTTCTAACTAATTTTTCCAATCTTAATGAATAATTTTTTCTTTCAAAAAAAGTGTGTAAATTGGTAAAAACCACGTGCAAATTTTAGTTTAAAATAAAACTGACATTTGGACGGGATGTACATTCAAAATTGTGCCCACATTTTTTGGTAACAAAAGCGATTCATCTTTTAAAATAATTAATTGCACACCATATTTAGAAAGTTTTAGATATTTTAAATCATAAAATACGGTAGAATTAAATGCCCCTAAAATTATGAGTTTTGTTGAATTCATTTTTGAAAATTTCGACAGATATTAAAGTGAATATGAAATTCAAAATCTCTTCTCATTTTAATTACAAGAAAATCGAACTGCATTCAACACGTGGACCACTTTAAAAATTATTCCTTGAATGAAGGAATTTATAGATAATTGTTATCTCTACTCAATCACATGATTATTTTAAATATAAAAAGAGTCAGATTACAAATTAGTGAATCATATATTACCTAATTCAATATCTTAACATTAAGGAATAAATCCATAGTATTATGTAAACCCGTATCTCATATTATTATATCATTAAGAATATATTGTAGTTATATTATCAAATCTTTTAAAGATATTAAATCCATATTGTAAAAAAAAATAATTCATATAATTTTATAACAATTCTACTACACTATTTAACAATATTCATTTTTATTATATAATAAAATAATAATTAAATATTATATACTGAACAATAATAAGTAAAATTGTTACTTTTTCTTATATTAATGGATAAATTTATATGCTAAAATTAAATTTTTATTAGTATAAATATTTTAGTGAGATAATATATTAATTACAAGTTAGGCTTAACATGCTCATATTTAATGTTCTGACTAAAAAAAACACAACGCAAAGATGTGGAAAAAAACTTATAATAACCCTATTGTTTTTTAGACTTAACGTTGATTAAAAGAGGTAGAAAATAGATAATAACCCTATTATTTTTAGACTTAAACGGACAAGGGTGTGAAAATAATTCATTTAATATCTTTGTCCCGTTAAGGGTGTGAAAATAATTCATTTAATATCTTTGTCCTGTGCATCGCACGGGGTACATACTAGTTAAAATGATATGGTAGTGTTATTTTCAAACAAAACTCTTAAATATAAATGGGTTGAAATTTTCAAAACACTCATTGGTACACGTAAATTGCACAATTAATTCCAAATTAAAAAATGAACCGGTTTTCTAACTTAATTTCCAAAAAAATATACAAAATATAAATTTCCAACATCATTTCCATAACTGGTAAGTCAAACTTTTGACCTATTTTTTTAACTTTCCATAAATGATTTTTCCATCAACTTTTTGCAATATATATAGACTTCCAAATCAGATATGATCAAAAAAATTCTTTATTTGAATAATTTATTAACATCTACAATTAATTTTATTAATATCCATTATAATAAAATATAATTTAATTTTCCGTGATTTATGTTGATAATATTTTGGTCAACATAAACATGAAAACAAATTTTAAGTCTTAACCATATTATTTTTTTTTCCAAAAATGTTTACTTTTATCCTAAAATATTTACACCTAATCGTAACATGTTAAATAATTTTCTCCTTTTAACTAATTAGTCGAAATCAAGTTGTTGAATTAATATTTTTCGATATAATTTTTAACCTTTATTTAATTATATAAAAACAAATAATTTTTTCAAATTAAAATAATTTACCATTTAAGAGATAATGATCACATCATTAAATAATTTACTAATGGCTATATAATAAAATTAAAATATATTAACTATTCTTTACAATTTCAACATGTGATTTATTGGTATATTATTGTCAACCATGATAATTTTATCATTTTTTTTTATTTGTTTCCAAAATAAATTTATTGTAAAATATATATTTATATTGCATAGTATGTTGTATAAATTAATAAAGCCTTAGGATGCAAATTAGAAAAATCTATTGATTACGTAAGGTTTTATTATTTGGCAATTTTTTGAATCAAATTTTTTTAATTATTATGAGAAAATTAAATTCTATAAAACATGTGTGTGTATTTTGTATAGATTTATACACAAAATTATTTTAAATTTCATTATATAAACAAAGAAGAAGAAGACTACTTCTATAAACTTTATACATAATAATGGTGACATTATATGACAACAAATATTATAATAAAATAATAATTGAGTATTATATGGTGAAAAGGAATAAGTATAATTTTTTTTTTATATATCGATGAATAAATATATATTGTAAAATCTAATTTATATTAGTATAACGTGTTAGCAGAATAATATATTAATTAATATGTCAACGTTATAGCTAAAATAAACATGTCCTAGCCGTTGAGACCTTGTATATTCTAGCCTTCCAGTCTTACCAAGAACACAAACACAAATTCAACTGTAAAACATCAACTTTTATATCTTTTGAATAAAAATATATTGTTTATACTGTAAAATATCATATTTTTTCATTTATACTATTATTTAATATATGTATATTCATATGTATTGTCTAATAGTTACACTGCCCAATGTTAACCTTACTGTACGAATAAAAAGATTTTTTGGCTTACATTCAATAGATTTTTAAAGTTGTATTATTATTTGTATACTGATTTGTTTGACACAGTGGTTACTATCTGAATTGTGGATTGTTTGTCTTGGTAACAGAACAATTACTTGGGTGCTACAACCTAAAAAGATCAGAAAAACTATATGTTTCGAGTTGGTGTAGTGTGCTATAAATTTGGATCGGTTGGTCGAGTTAGTTTTACATTTTGAAAAACAGTGTACATACTTTTACTATAAAATGTCATACTTTCCGAATATATTAAATGGTTTATAAAATATACTGTGTCACTGTGAAATTTCTGATTTTAATTTATATCCATAAGTGATGAGAAAATTAGGTAATGTATATAGTATCATGCCATGGGACCACATGTATATACATATATCCTTGTTGATTATTTTGTTGTAGTTAGGATATCTGATTTTTTCCGCTTCTGTGTTTCTTATTGCCTAATGGCCTTTTGTAATATGCTTTTTCTTGAACTAGCTAAAGCATGAAGCAGTATACTTGGCCAAGAAAATAGAGTTTTTGGAGAATACCCACAGGTTTTCTTCTTCTTCTTCTTCTTCTTCTTGTTCTTCCGAATATTTTCTTTTCCTTTTGAAGTAGTTGGTAGGGCTTATTCTGTGAGCTTCGGTTGTGCACAGGAAGTTGTTAGGGAATAATCTCGGTATGTGTTCTCTGGAAGAACTTCACGAAATTGACAATCAATTGGAGAAAAGCCTAAAAAACATAAGGTCGAGAAAGGTATATATTGTCTCATGTCAAGCAATAATATGTCAAGAGAAATATTATTGAATGAGAAATTGCTTATAAAGAATTGTTTCTAATTTGTGAATTTACAATATTGGTAAGGGCATTGAGATGTATATGAGAAGATTTTTTTTTTTTTTGATAGAGTTGAAAAGTATATTAATGATAATGATAATGAAAATATTTTTTTGCTCCACTTATGAGCTGAATCATTTGATGTAAGAACAGAAGGAATACATTGAACTTGAATAATTGTAACATATAATATTGCTTATTTTCCCAGGCTCAAGTATTCAAGGAGGAAATAGAAAAATTACAAGCAAAGGTGTGATCAAACTACATATTCAATTATTTGTGCAATTTTCTAAATTTCTGTTCAAACATGTATTGATTTGAATTTTCAGGAGAAGTTTCTACTAGAGGAAAATGGAAGACTATCTGAAAAGGTAAAAACAATTGACCATCATATCTTTCACCGTAACTATATGTTGGAACTTTGGTTTTCATTTTTCTATTTGCATTGTACATATATATCTATAGATTTTCATTTGCCAATATTTTGTTATATAATAATGAATTGATGAATGGCGTGCAGATTGGATTGAATCGAAATCGCGAAATGGAAAAACAGGAAGAATTTGGGAGATGCAGCCAAAGTACACAGAGCTCTGAAGTTGTGACTGAGTTGTTTATTGGCTTACCAACAAGAAGAACTGCTTCTTGACATTTTATCAACGTTTAGCTTCCAAAGAAGTACAGAAAGTACTAATTATATATTACTTTTCTCATTTAAGGTACCGTGAGTTGGTGAATAAATGCAATACGTGTGGATTATATAATCTGCTTCGTGCAATTTATTTTCGTTTCTCTGGAAATGTAATCTATATTGGGAAAATTATATTGCTGTTTCTGGTAAGATTTTGCATTCTATCTAGCGTAAAAGTCAATATTTACCAACTGCGAGTCTTTGTTTATTCGAAATTAAAGTACTCAGTTGCAAATCAAGCAACAAAAGAAAATTTCTTTCTTGACAAAATTTGGCTTCAGAGAATCAGAATAGTGAGCGCTATCTCCATTTAAACCATGCAAAGATAAGGTGTCAGTAACATATGTCAAATAATTCACAGAATTTAATTATATTTTGTATTTTTGTTTCACATGAATTCAACGAATTCCTCATAATATACTGATTTTATTTTTATTTATTTATTTATTTTTTAAAATTGTTTGATTCTATTAACAATTATAATAATAATATAATTCCACAACTTAAAAAATATAATAGTTACCCTCTAGAACTCTCTCTTTTCTCCCATATTAGACTATGTAAATATACTTATTGGCATTGCATGTTATTTTAAATGGAAATATACAACATATATTATTTATTATAATTATTTTAATTGGTTACTAAACATTTTTTGAAAAGTTTATTTTTACAAATTTCATATATAAATACTTACTGTTTAGTATTTAATAAAAAAATTATCTTCTTTTGGTCAAGTAATTAGATTGGAATTGTTAATGCGTTGGAAATAATAAAAAACTAACGGAGATTGTCTTAAAAGTCAAATTCATGGCATAAGGTCGAGCCCACATGTCCAATCGAAAGAAATTATGATGGGCCTGTAATTGGAATAGCCCAATCCAAAGATATTAGGTTTTTTGTATAAGAGGCTACTACGGCTAGGCCAGTGGTGCTTCGAGTCTCTTGGCATCCATTTTTCACAGGGCAAAGCTGCGACTCGCGGTAGACCAGAAAGAGCAAACATTAAGGTGAATCATGGCGCTGTCGACCAAGGAGAAGGACATACAGATGCTGCTGGCGGCCGAAGCTCATCTCGGCACCAAAAACTGCAACTTTCAGATGGAGCGCTATGTATTCAAGCGCAGAAATGATGGTATGTGCATCTCTTTAATGCGTTTGTATTTCTTCATCTGTCTGTATCAGAATTATCTATTAGCTATTGTTTGATGCGACGTGAAATGTGATTCGCGTAACATGTTCGTTAAGGTTTGATTTGTTATGGACTGCGGTAGATAAGAGTGAGTTTTAAGTTTAGCTGATAAATCAGTCAACATAAAGAAGAAAAAGATAAAACTGAGAAGGTAAGGAACTGAGAGAGCTAGAAAGGATAACAAATGGCTCAATTGAAGTCTCGGTTTAGAAAACAACAATAGAAGGAATGAGACTGTTTACGTTATTTGGAAGAACTCAATAATGTCCCAGAATTGAGTAAAAAATGCAAGTAAAGGAGTTGGAGTCCAAAAATGATTTATATAATGTCTTAGGTTTATAAAAAGGAATCAAGGACGCAAATACTACACTCGAAGTAATTGTCTGAAACTGACAGAGCTAGAATACGGAAAAGTTTTTTTTAGTGCAAATTCTATCAAGTGATGGTATGATATGGAATGCCCAATATACACGAACAGCATACTAGCTGAATTTGTTGGCAGTAGAATTGAAATTCCTTTCATAACAGTTTTGTTGGATGCCGAAGTAAGTTTGACTTGATATTTTGATTGCTGTGTGACATGTTGCGCCCTTTCTCCTATTAAACTGTAAACATAGATATTTCAACTGCTATGTGAACCTTTCGCCCGTCATATGTAAAAGGCATCCCATTTGCTCGTATATTTTTTTATCATCTTTATCTTTTTGTGCCCATGCTCTGTTATTTACCATTTCTTGTTCTCTACATATTCTTGTATGTGTTCCTCATCTGCCAATTTGTATTGTTTTCAGGAATTTACATCATCAACCTTGGCAAAACATGGGAAAAGCTTCAGTTAGCTGCCAGGGTCATTGTCGCAATCGAGAACCCTCAAGACATCATTGTCCAGTCAGCCAGGCCCTATGGTCAGAGGGCTGTCCTAAAGTTTGCACAATACACTGGAGCTCACGCAATTGCTGGACGTCACACTCCTGGTACTTTTACAAATCAGCTTCAGACTTCATTTAGTGAACCACGGCTTCTCATCCTTACTGACCCAAGGACTGATCACCAGGTTGGTTAGATTACTTTTCTTTCTTTCCTTCGTTCAGTTGATTGCTTAAATAGTGCATGTACTGTATGCCGATTTCTAATTACTTGGTATATATTTATGTTGTGTGCAGCCAATTAAGGAGGCTGCACTGTCTAACATCCCCACCATTGCCTTCTGTGACACTGATTCCCCAATGAGGTACGTTGATATCGGTATTCCAGCCAACAACAAAGGGAAACACAGCATTGGCTGCCTCTTTTGGCTCTTGGCCAGGATGGTGCTCCAAATGCGCAGTCTCATTGCTCCTGGGCACAAATGGGAAGTCATGGTAATTGAGCAATTGCTTATATCTATAAATTAATTCAGTTCAGTGAGACAATTATTTATTTCCTAAATCAGGTGAACTGGTGCTGCCACGCCATTTATTCTCTGTATGATACTTATAAAGAAATTCTTGGTTTGACAAGGTTGATCTGTTCTTCTACCGGGAGCCTGAGGAGTCTAAGGTTGAAGAAGAAGAGGAAGTTGGAGCTGGCCCAGATTATGCTGATTATTCGGGCACTGCTGCTGCAATTGGAGGTGCTGACTGGTCGAGTGCCCAAATCACAGATGCTCAATGGCAAGCTGCTCCTGATGTTCCTGCTGGTGCTGTAGGTGGTTGGACTGCTGCAGACACAACAGGTTAATCTAATTTATCCGCGTCTTTCTTTAGTGTGATATATGTTATTAATGGTAAAGCTTTTACCTATTTTGTCATGGCTTGAAGTTTTTCACTCAAGGTTTAAATTAACCAGAAGCATGGGAAAATAAAAAATGGTGTGTAAATTGCAGGTGTTGCTGATGGAGGGTGGGACTCTGCTGCTCCTCCTCCTCAAGTGGCTGTTGAAGGAGGAGTACCTGCTGCAGTTGCTCCTACCGGCTGGGAGTAAATTCAGTGTCGGGATAACTTTGTTTTCTTTTGGTTTATGTTTCGTATGTTATGGAATGGAGAACATGGAGGACACCTACCTGTACTTTCCGTTGTCAGTTGAGTTTTTTGTAGGACTTCTCTAAAGCATTTGATTGGTGATCACCGTTTTGTTTTTCATAGCTGGCGTAAACAATATATCAGTTCTCTCTTTGGGAGTGCCAAGATATAGATTATATTGTTGGTTTGAGTTAGATTTTGTGATCTTGCTTGTGTTTTGACTTTTGAGTAATATCAGTCTGAGTTTCAGGTTTTGTTATCCTGATGGTCTCATTGAAAGGGGAAAGTTTGAAGAACAAGAATTGAATTTTATTTGGTATTCTATCCACTACATGTTGAAGAAATTGGAATTTGCCTGTCTTAGTAGTACTCTCTCCTCTTAACCACAAATCACCTGACCGCAAGTTGTTGGAGGTTATTGGTAGGGAGTTAAAATCAATAAAATTGATCAAAGTTGCATTCCCAATTAGGTCATGTGTGGTAGGCAAATAAGCGAGTTATAGTTTATTTGATTAGCTTATGAGTTTCTTACATTTAAATAAGCTCATTTGGTTGGACGAGCTTATTTTAAAAAGTTCGAATTTATCTAATAAGCTTCTTTGGGTACTTTTCAAATAAGTTTGTTAAAATTTTTGTTTCAGTTAACTTATCAGTTAATTTTACAAAAATACTTATCATATAAGTTAGCTTTTCAGCTATAAGTCTTAACATATAAGCTGTAAGCTCAAAAATTATTTATAAGGTATAAGCTAACTTATTAGTTATTAGTTAATTTATCAGATAGTTTTGAGTTGTTTTGAATAAAAGTTGATTGAGTGAGATGAAAAATTGTAATTAAGTACTATTTAAAACTAGTACAACACCCGTGTACTACACGAGTATTGAATTAAGAAATATTTACATTAAAATATTTAAAAATGAACATAAAAATTTTATTTAATTTTTAAAAATTTTTAAATTGCATTGTTAGTTTTAAAATGATGCTATAGTGTTATACACAAAGTTTAAGGAATTAGTTTTAGAATCATTATGTTGGATTTTACTTTGTATAATAGTAATTATGACAATGAGCTCCTAGAAGTGCTTATTAGGTAAAAATTGTGGTGCACAAATGCCACCTAGCTTGATATATAAAATATTGATTCCAAGTGGCTACTTTAAACTCATTGAATACTTACACGAAAGTTGTTATAATTAATACGTAGGGGGAGTTTCTCGATCCTGTTTTGGGCCGTTGGGCTTGTTAGCTGTCCCTATGGTTTGGTGGTGGCTTCCGGTTGGTGAGGGGGACGTTATTCTATTTATTCTAGTGGTTTAGTTTTTCTCTATTTTTGTGTGCTAGGGTGTCTAGTTTGCTTAGTTTTTGTTTGTTTGTTGTGTTGTGGTTGTGTTTGTGGTGCCATTGTTGTTTTATTCTCCTTTATGGAGAGTGGTATTCTCCACTGGTGAAATTTAGATTGCTGGTTTCTAATTTTTAGTCTTGTTGGTGCGTTTATTTTAGTATTTCTAAGCTACAGTTGTTCCGACGTGTATGCCTCCCTCGGTATTCAGCTTTTAGTTGCAGTCGGCTAACTGACCGCTTGTAAATATGCGTTTCTTCNGGTGATATAAGGACCAAAAAATTTAATAGCCTTTAGTAGTGTCATTTTTGCGAGTATTCATTCAAATTGAATCTTGTAGCTTGTGTTTATTGTGTTATTATTATCTTACGTTTCTTTTGTCGTTAAGAAAAAAAATTGGCAAATAATAAAAAATATAACCATGGTTTTTCCCGTACGTCCCAATTAAATAAGAATGCAACATTATGCGTGGCTTCAGTTTATTTTTGTTAGGCGCCTACAATTCTATTTTTGATACGTGTGTCATCTTCAGGACATATGCGTGGCTTCAGTTTTCTTAAATTTTTCTTGAATTATCCACGATAAGGTTGATAATTAATGTCGATCGTGCACCCAGTGAGTGCAAACCGGGTTTGGACTTTGTAATGTGCTTTGCCTAATATGTTTCAACTTGTTGAAGTCGGGGAACAGACATGACCGCAATGAAAATGCTATCACGTGAAACTGAACAACAATATCATTTTTTTTTTCAATAACATATCACGTTGTCTAAGCTATTTCAAACAGAAAGTGCCATTTTAGGTCTACTAGTCTTGTAACATCAAAACTTTTTATGGATTTATATTATATAAATCGTATCTCCTTTCATTTTAGTGATTCCACTTGTATGATCAACTTCTAGATTTTTATTCACTAACTAATGTACTGTTTTGAAATTAAAATATGAGTTGGGTAAGAAGAAAATAATATCGAGTGTAATGGTAAGTATTACTATTGAGACTATGAATTGTGAAGAATTGGAAAATGGTTGTAAAAATATTTAAAATTTGCATATAAAGTTGGAGAATATACTATTGATAGGAAAAGAAGAGTTTTATCACTAAAATTTTCACCAGGATATTTTGAAGGTCAATCATCCATTAGAACACATATAGCATATATATAAAATATAAAACTTTGAATGACCATAATAACAGACGTAGCATATCAAATATTAATCAACTATAGACTTAAAGAATGTAACATATAAAATATGAATAAGACAATCTATTAAATAATTAAAATATTAGTATCACGTCAAAATAAAAATATTTATGCAAATAAAAATTCGTCGTTTAGTGAGCGGCACTATATATGGTGGTCAAGTGTTGATCAATTGTCTGCCATTCTCTTGTAGTTAAAATGACTGATTATATCACAACGAACAAGGCTTTTATGCCTCACCACCAACTTACCAACTCACTCCCTAAACCAATAATCTTCGATGCAAGTTTGCTTAACCTTGAATCCAATATACCATCTCAATTTATATGGCCAGATCACGAAAAGCCATGTCCTGAACCCATGGAACTTGATGTTCCTTTGATTGATTTAACTGGGTTTTTGTCAGATGATATTGCTGCCTCAACTCGAGCGGCTAAATTAGTGGGAGAAGCTTGTAGGAAGCATGGGTTTTTCATGGTAGTCAATCACGGTATAGATTTCAATCTCATATTAGACGCTCATCAGTGTATGGATGATTTCTTTAAACAACCACTCGTCCAGAAACAGAGAGCTCAACGCAAACTCGGCGAGCACTGTGGTTATGCCAGTAGCTTTACAGGTCGTTTTATGTCTAAGCTGCCTTGGAAGGAAACTCTTTCCTTCGAATATTTTGCACGAGACGGTTACTCTCGCAACGTTGAAGAATACTTCAAAAGAACGCTTGGGCAAAATTTTGGAAAATCAGGGTATGTAACACTACTCACTTCTTAGATTGAACAAAGAAACAAATTTATGATAAAATTAAATAAAGTATATATAAAATATTAAACACACGTAATTCGTGTGTAAATTAAAACTAAGCATTATATATTGAAAGAAATACGTAAACTACTTAATAATAAATCATACTCGTTGCCGATTTTGTTAATTAGATGGAAAAGATGACAAATTAAATTTCAGATAATGAACTCTGCTTAAAATAAAATGTATACTAATTGAGCTACAATATTCTTAATATAGTTCGAAAAATATATATTTTTTGATCAACATGTATCTTTTTTTCTTTTCTTTTGTTTTTTAGAATGTCATCCAACTTGTTGCATACATGTATACATTTTGGCAGGAAAGTTTATCAAGAGTATTGTGGTTCCATGAGTAAACTCTCCCTAGCAATCATGGAGCTCTTGGCAATGAGTCTTGGAGTGGAGCGCAATCATTTCAAGGCCTTTTTTGAAGCAAACGAGTCGATTATGAGACTCAACTACTACCCACCGTGCCAAAAGCCAGATCAGACATTAGGCACCGGACCACACTGTGATCCCACATCGCTAACCATTCTTCACCAAGACAGTGTTGGTGGACTACAAGTGTTTGTGGATGACCAGTGGAGATCAATCAATCCCATCCCTAATGCTTTTGTTGTCAACATTGGGGATACTTTCATGGTAAAAAAAATATAAAATAAAAAATTACCAAGATTCTAAATTTGATTTAAATTTAATTTATTTTTTCTGTTATAATCAGGCACTCTCAAATGGGAAGTACAAAAGTTGTCTGCACAGGGCAGTGGTGAATAGCAAGAGTTCCAGGAAGTCACTTGCTTTCTTTTTATGTCCGAATAAGGATAAGTTGGTGAGGCCACCAGCTGAACTGGTGGACAAAAATAGCCCGAGAATATATCCCGACTTCAAATGGCCGGCCTTGCTCGAGTTCACTCAGAAACATTACAGAGCTGATATGAACACACTGCAAAATTTCTCAAAATGGATCCTCGAGCAGCAGGACAAAACTCATCATCATCAACTTCTCTGATCTGTGTTTTGGCCTTTGTAATAGCGAATATGTGTTAATAGTTTTACATATTCCGAGCTGTGTTTTGGCCTTTGTTAAATCAAATCTTTTTGGCAGTAGCTTTTGGTGCCTGGACTCTTGTTTTAATTTTAAGAATCAAACAGAAAATGATGGAGTGCGCATCAAAATTTACTAATCTCATCAACCAAGTTCAGAGGCTTATGATTTTTAACTAATGTGATGCGCATTTTTAGACAAGAATTTGTGAACAAAATAACAAGTCTGATATATAATTTAAACGTAAGTACTATCAATTGGCACATGCATATATAAAAAGCTCAATTAAAAATCCATAAATTATGCATGGTTTTGGATTAAAATTTTAATAAGATAAACTTTTTATATAGTGTCGCATATTTAAATATAATATATATATAAATTATAACATTGCATATAGTCTATATTCATTAATATTCATTATTTAGCATATTTTCAAACTTAACTTTTGGGAAATTGGAGCACTTTACTTGATCGATATAGGTACTCAAGTATTTAATTAGTGTTGGAGAAGTACGTATACCGAAAAACTTTGATAGTCCTTATTATACTTAATTATTGGGAATATAATAGACTTGCTTCAAGTACATACCGTCAATCTTTGTCGCATCTCAAGACGAAACGGATTATGGGTCAAATTGGTGATTGAGGACAAACTAAGGGCTATACGGGTAATTTCAAAACTTGGCTACTTTATGAGTTTGTTTTTGTTTTTTCCGTTGTTTTCTGGTTCAAAGATTAATGCATGGCAAACTAAATCCAACGAGATAGAAATGAAAAAAAAAGATGGCCCACTAAATGAATGATGATTAAGAATAATAGTAGCTAGAATACAATTTGATGTCTGGCAGAGCTTTCGTTGCCATGGATTCTAGTGCAATTGGTTTATTGTTATTTAAATATTCACACCATATATGATATATATACTTATTTTACATATCTGGACTTTTGGGAGTAAGTGGCTATATAGTATGACAAGGTATACTTTGTCCTTTGGGACATCGTTCTTGTGTTTGTCCCTTTATGCTGCAACATTCTACCCATCATATTGTAAACTATGGGGGTTCTCGGTTTGGTTATGAGATTTGTTACACAAACGTACGTGTATCAAATATAATGGAAAATGCTATGAATTGTAAGAAAAAATTGGTTTTGTACTGATTTAATAATTCTACTTTTCGTAAGTAGAAGACTTAGGAAATTCTCAAAACCTTTTTAAGGTGAATGAGAAATTAATTCTAAATGTTATATGTTAATTAATTGAGTTTAAATAACTCAAAGGTTGTAGGGTTTACAAATATTCTGTTTTGAAAAATGTTTGGACAAACTAAACGAGCCATAATTATGCATTATGTATGCTAGAATTGTAGAAGGACTCGTTGAGGACAAGTAGGAAAAAAAAAGAACTCAATTCCGAGTCCGTATGAGCTCATACGAGCCCGCGGCGCACGGGCGCGCAACTGGCTGCGGAAATCAAATGGTCGCAACCCTTGGTGACCATAAGGTATCTTTTGGCCACTAGATGCATCCGTTCTCGTTCGGGCACGTCTCAAAAGGTGTCTTTTGACACTTAAACCTCTTGGAGGTGTTTCCCTACATCTATAATACCCACATACTTGAAATCATTAATATTATGAAAATTAGAGAGCTCTTGCATTACTTTTCAAAGATCATACAGCATATTGCGTTCTTTGATTTTTTCATTGAGTTTTGAGAGTTCCAAACAATAGTAGTGTTCGCCGAAAGCTTGTATATTTGAAGTACCACTATATACAAGTCGAAAGTCGTTGTATCTTGGAGGCGTTTGCTGTTAACCGTGGGTATTTTACGGGGCAATTTCGTCTTACGGAGAACGTAACTATTACGTGCCTCGACTTTGATTTTTGTTTCGTTTTCTTCATTCTAAGCCGTCTTTTTGATATTCACAAACAACAAATATACTACAATCTTAAGACGAAACACGAAATCATGTGAGTTCATAAGATGGCAACCGAAGGAAACCAAACGTCTTCTTCAAGTGCTCAACCGATGGTAGCTGCTCCCGCCCAAAGGCGAGAGACCGTCGATGTTCAATGGCTCTCTGTTTTCAAGAGGTGGCAGCAAATGAGGTTTTACTACCTTACAACTCTCTCCCTCTCTTGTTTACTTTTGGAGGACTCTTTGATCGTCCCCAAAAGTGAGACTAACATCCAAAAATGTATGGTCTTAGATGCTTGGCATCATAGTGATTTCTTGTGTAGAAATCTAATACTTAACAGACTACACAACACACTATAATGTGTACAGCCCGGTTACGATGTCTAAGGAGTTGTGGAACTCTTAGAAATCAACGTACAAAATGAAAGATAACGACACTAAAACTTTTGTCGGTAAATTCCTTTAGTACATGATTAACACAAAGTTAGTGGTTAATCAAGTTCAAGAGATTCAAATCATCCTTTAGGTTATGTTGGCCTATGGAGTGATTGTGAACGAAGCCTTTCAAGTGGCGGCTATTGTTGGAAAGTTGTCTCCTTTGTAGAATGACTTCAAGAAGTTATCTCATGCATAGATGCAAAGAAATGAAAATTGAGGGTTTGATAGATGGTCTTCGGATAACATAAAATAATTGAAAATCTGAAGTATTGGTCAAATGGAGCAAGCTAGAGGCTAAGGCAAACTTGGCCGAGCCGAGGTCGTGTAAGAAGTGTAGAAACGCTTTTCATGGCAAACCGAAATGGGACGCCTAGAAGTCCAAGGGATGCTGTTACGATGGTGACAAACCCGGGTATCTTGTCGAAGTTTACTAACTTCTGAAGAAGGGTAAAGGATAGTGCGAATTGTCGAGGACAAGATAATACTTGTCAGAGCTTGATCTTTCCGTCGTGGTTCGAGTACAAACTTGATTAAAATTCCACGTTTATAACGGACAAGAACAAGCCACTTGACCCATAGGCGCTTATAAATGTTGTCCTACAACCCTAATATGGAAGGAATTATTTGTGGAATTCCTCGACTTCAAGTGTTGAAGGAAATGACAAGGTAGTGTGCTAAGAATGAATACTGGAGATCGTGGATGTTCTTCATGCTCAAGACATCCATAAGAATCTAGATTTCGAACCATTAATTAAGTAAGGCCGAATTTAGGTTAGTTTATGATCATCGACAAATATGTTATGTCGAAATATAATGTATTCTTAGCATAAGTAGACCTTAATAAAGGTCATCTTACAATTGTTGTAAAATTGTAATCTGCTGGTTGATGAAAAGATAAATAAATTGGTCTTATTTATTGAGTGTTCTAATTTATGGCATGATAAATTAGTACTTGTGAATTTAAACACTAGAAGTTGGTGAATCTAAGTTGATTCATACAACAAATATGAAAAGTGTGTTAAAATGAAAAAGTGACAAAAGCATCTTATGAAATGATTGCTTAATTGACTAGTCCTCTCGAGATAAGTCACACTTGTATATGTGATTTAAGAGTTTGTGCAAACTCGAGTCGAAAATAAAAAAGCACAATGTATTGTCATAAAGCTTTTGTAGCTTTAAGTCACATATGAATGTTGATATTCCATGAAATAGTAGAAAGAAATATTCACTCTTTAGTAGGTGATAATTCTTATTGGTAAACTTGAATTTAAGCTAAATGCTTATGTGAGAAGTATTTATTTCGACAAAATTGCAAACACCACACGAAGGTAGATATGAAACTCCGTTTGAGTTATAAAAAGAGCAAAAACATTCGTACATGTACCTTAAAATGTGGAGGTGTTTGGGCATGGAAAGCACCACACGAAGGTAGATACGAAACTCCGTTTGAGTTATAAAAAGAGCAAAAGCATTCGTACCTATACCTTGAAATGCGGGGGTGTTCGGTCTAAGGTAGAAATACCTAAATAATGTCATGAAAAGTTTGTTGAAATAATTTTGTCGAATGGTTTCAACTTCATTGAATGACAAAATGAGTCTATGAAGGTTCTTCCGACTCTTTGTGATCGTGAATCTTATGTAGACAATATGATGATCTTGGAATATAATCATGATGTGTTCATGAATACCAAGAAGATTAATTTTGACATGAAAATATTTGTGAAATTTTGGTGTAATTTTTTAGATTGAGTTTCTAAGAAATCGGAAGTAATTGTTTGACACAATCTCATCATGTCAAATGTATGTTGAAGAGGATCGATGTATTCGATAAAACCTCAAGCTAAAGTGAATGTATAATTGACTCTACACTTAGCTAAGAATTCAAGAATAATTAGTTTGTCGGCGAAATTATGTTGAATAATTGGAGGCTTGAGGTACTTGTCGGATAGTACTCGCCCCAATATTTCATTTTTGCGAGCAAACTAAGATATTCACAAGGAACTCGAGCGATGAAATTTGATCACGCTAAATAGAGTGTTAGACGTGAAAAACTCTAAGACAAAAAGTGACTACGTGTTCACTTTAGGTGGGGAGAGTTGTGTCATGAAAATTATCTAAGTATAAAGCTAGATCCACAATGATGTTCGAGTTCATAAATTTGGACTAAAGGCGTGGAAGAAGCTAATAACTTAGAAATTTTCTAAAAGACCTAGGTGGAATAAATTGTGCTCATCGAGATGATTATTTATCAATCAACATTTTGAAGAGCACAAAGTAGTTTGTACAATAGTAAGTCTAGACATAAACATCAGAGACTTAATTTTATTAAGAAAATTATCTCGTGTGGGGGTTATATCGGTTGACTATGTGTAGTCAAAGATAAACCTAACGGATCCGTTTACATAAAGCATGCAACGAGATAAATTGTACAAACTGGTTAGGGGAATGAGCTTAATAAAAACCCACAATAAACGAACGGTCTTAGCGGTAACCCAACCATGAGAATCGGAGATCCCGAAACCTTGGTTCAATGGGAAAACTAAGTTTTGACAGTTCAGTGAAACACTTGAAAATTTTTGCTCATTTCTAGAACCGTCAAGTGTTAAAATCTGCCTAAGTGGTGAGGATAAGTCAAGGACTTTTAATGATTTCTATACCTATGGGTGGAGTAAGGCAGGATACTCTTAATAGGAGAATCACCTTTGTAAGTGAGAAGTAAATAGGCCGCTTCAACGAACACTTACTAAACCGAGATATGGTCCAA